TTTTTTCTTTTCTTTTAATTTTTTTTTTTTTNTTTTTTTTTTTTTTGCGGAACTGCTTCCTTGCCTTCTACTCAAACTTCTAACCGACCGACTGACTGTCTAGCCTACCTACGGAGGGAAACCTTCAAATCCCTCCCTCAGCTTACCCTGTCTTTCTCCGTCGATCCAGACCTGTTGCCTGCCTACCTACCTACCTAAGCAAGGAGCTCGGATTCCTCGAGTCGAAAACTTCGAAACCCGCATCTAGGCCGTCATCAACATCAGTCCTTTTCATTTATTGTACTTGTTGGTCTGGACGTAACGAGTGTCAAGAAGAGAGAAAGATGAGCTGGCCCGATGACCCTATGGCCCTTTGATGAAAGGCAGCTGTAGCTAGCCATTTACCGCCCCTCCCCCCTCGCCCAATCTGAACAACCTGTAAACAATGTTGAGAGAACTGCAGATAAGAAGATTTATGCGCAGACAAAGATATGGTAGCACGCATATCGCAGGCAGTAAATAGTTACATATAGACGGAGAAATAGCCCCCCCCCGTGGACTCCAATCCTACCTGCATATTGCAGAAAACGACATTTCGTTTGAACCCTCGTTCTGCGCGCATTGAGAATTCATATTAGTTCTCGAGTGGGCAGTTGCAAAATTCAGAGGGCTTCCGTACTCGAGTTATTTGATTGTAAAGCAAGGAGTGGTATCGAACACAAGTGCGCTTGACATGACAGCCGGGGCCTCTGTCCCAGAACTCCACACCGCCATGCTGCCTGTTTTGCTGATAAGGCTAAGGATATTCCTCTACCAATCCGCCCTTTCATCACAGCCCGTCGCTGTTACAACCATTTTCAAGTCGTTTCTCTCCAAACGTATCAATCCAAGTTCGTGTAGAAATTTTCGTAATTTCGGACCTCGGTCATCTCATATTCCAAACCTAAGCCCGAAGAAGACCTTACCATCCAAACATAAAACCCGTCCATGCTATCGCCAAAACTGCACACCAGACCAGGTTACATCCAACAGTGCTCCCACTACTCGATATATCGAAGGGAGATCCGCCACCTGATCCTCCGTCTGGCTTGGATGTCGCTTTCGGGGTGGCACTGGACCCGGCGGCTGCAGCGCCATCCTTGGAGGATGTCGTAGTGGATAAACTTTCCGCGGATGTCGTGGAAGAGGTGAAAGAGGGGATAGGAGGTATCGCCGAAGTTATCGTTTCCGGGAATGACGCCTGCTGTGTAGAGATTGTTGGTTTTTTAGAAGCCGAAGAGGTTGCTGCAATCCCTGTCGATGTGGGTGTCGGTTTCGAGGCCAAAGTTCCACTCGATACTGACCAAAACATCAATGAGGTCGTAGGAGTAGCCATCTGTTTCGTTGTAGCTTTGGTCGTTGGTACCATCGTCATGGTAACAGAAGCCTGTGGTGGTTCTGATACGGGCGTTGAAAAACACAGCGCCGCTAAAATCCCTCCATTCTTGATAATCCCCAATAGTGTTTGTGCATTTACGCTAGCGGATACGCAGGCGTCTCGCACATCTGCTTGTATGGTCAACAGATTCGCAATGCAATCATTTGAGCATCCCCTGTCGAAATCCTTCTTTTTGCAATTGACCATCTGCGTATCGTATGTCAACAGACATGATAACGAAATGTATTCATTTCTGATTTCCTGAAAATTTGACAGGGACAAGGCGAGCGCTGTAGGCAGTGCAAGGGACAGACCAAGGTGTTTGCGCAGCATTGTGAATGAGAATGGCAGTAGGGGTCCCAAGCCGGCTCCGAAAACGTAGGTTGTGATAAGGCTCGCCGCCACCACTTTGGGGATTGTCGATGATAGATAACACCGTACAGCAGTGACGACAGCAGGTAGAGCGTTGCCAGCAAGAGCTTTGACACGTTGCCCGCGGAAGGGATAGCGAATGCTTCGACTTGCAAAAAACGCGGCAGATTCGAGTGCTACCGTTAGGGTAGTGGCACTCCACGGTCTCCACGTCGTTTGTGACAGGAGGGATCGAGAGGTGATAGTCTCTCGAGTCCTTTCCCAAAACTCTTTGCTTTATGAAGGATATTGCTGGCGTCCTAGTGATTTCTGGAATGACGCAACGGATCAAATGCGCAACGCAGAAAATAAATCAAACGAAGAACGAGATGCAGCTAGAGTGCTGAGTGATCGAAGCCTGCTGCAGAGTGGCTGGAGTTGACTGACTTCTTCAACTGTTCGGATTGGAAAAGGATTGATGCAGAACAGAAGGAGAAATACTTAGTGGGAGATGGGGACTGGTGGGTATTCGAAGCAAAAAGAAAAGAAGGTTTGATGGACAGGATTACGAAGTCAGGGATAGTTATACACGTTCCTTTTAATACAAATCCTTCCTTGGTCTCGAAGAATGAACACTTGTTGAGTTAGGCAATGAGTGGCATGATGATCGTCAATCCAGCCTCCCGCAGCTTTTCAATTTGGCGAACGACTTGAGGAGGTCGACGTCTTCCACGGAGCCAGTGAGGTCGCGACATTTGGCTATGACGAAACATTAGGAATAGTTTGAAACGGGAGTACAGTTTCAGATGTTGGGAAATCGGTGATATGTGATAAGTTGTTGTTTGTTGGCTGTTGGCTGTTGGCTGTTGGTTGTTGGTTGTTGGTTGTTGGTTGATATCGTCCTGTTGTGATACATAAAGCAAGTAGCCCCACTTAAACCCCTGAGTTCTCGCCAAAGGTCCAACTAGGTCACTCTCGGCTCGGCCCCTCACTCCTCTCTCTTGATCTATGATTGGTAGCCTTCTCGAGCTGCCCCACCCTCAGCCTCGCGCCTAAGTCGCAAGTCGCAAAGCAATGAGTGAGTGAGCGGTTGAATGCTATGCTGCTCACTCACCAAGGAAGCCGACAATTCAACACATCACATCAGCAACACAACACAAACACAATACCTACCAGCAGTTCCATTCTATATCTGCCACCGTGACTCTTGGCCAACTCTCCTTCCCCAACCCAACAGCCAGCCAATCCATAAAACCACAAACCACAACCTCGCAGTCAAGCGTCAACCCAAACTTCCCAGCTTTGAGATATCCGAGAGGGAGAATTGGAAGATTGGGAGGAGAACGGTCGAAGGCAGGATCCAGAGAGAAATAGAACAGAGCGAGCGTGCCAAAGAGCAGCCAGCACAATGCCATCCGGATCCACGACGCCGGTCCGCGTGCCAAAGGCCGCCTCGAACTACTCGCCCACGACCCAGGATCCCGAGCTGCGGTCTCAGATAAACATGACGCTCCTGCGAGACGGGCATATTACCAAGTACTTTCGCTCACTGCTTACTTTTCTTCTTTTCTTCTTCTCGTCTTACCAGCAACATGCCCCTCTTCGCACCCCTCCCTCCTCAAACTGTGCCCTACCATCCATCACCTTATACAACAAACTCCCTCCCCTCAAAAAAGCAAACACTAATACCACCGCTCAGGATCCACGATACGCTCCTCCACGCCCTCCACGCCCACCCCGCGAACTGGCCTACCACCCTCCAAGCCCACGCCCTCTCCCTCCTCCGTTCTGGGAAATACACCTCCTTCCCAGAGCTCATGCGGCGCGTCCTGCAAGACATCAAAGACGACACTCTCGCTCAAGAAGCATTCGCCCAAAACGCCTCCGCAAGCACCAGCACCAACCCAACAGCCACCACGGCGAACTCAAGTAAAGCGAGCGGGAAAGTCAACGGAGTAAGCAACGTGAAGAGGAGGCCTGGGGAGGACGTACCTGGCTTCAGGGGAAGAGGCGAGGGAGGGGTCAGTCTGGCGCTGCCGAGGGTAGTGGTTGAGGAGGGGGTGAAGGTTACGAGGGAGTGTTTGGAGCTGGTGTGCGAGGTTCCCGAATGAAAAGCCCCCCCTCCCTCCTCTCCCTCTCCCTCCCTCTCCTTCTCCCTTTCTGTTTCCATATAGGTACCGTGCCGAGAACTTGGACTTGGACTTGGAATTGGATTCCAGGCAACAGGACGAAATAGAAGTAGTCCGGGATGGAAAAAATCATATGTACACTTGGACCCTCAAGACGGCGTTCAAACGGGCCAGGAACGAAAAAAATGGGACAGCCGCGAATATAGATGTATTTATGTATATGCACATGTACTGATGAGAGATCATTGCAGCAACCTTTATACCATGTATCTTTATACCATGTATGCCTCCCCTCCGCACACATAAGACAGCCACAAATCTACAGGGTAGCTGCAGCAAGCGAGGGATGCTCTATAATATATCTCCTCCTACTACTACGATATATCCAAACAACAAGCGAGGCTCTCTCGTCTCATCATGTAACCAGTGATCAAGCATCCTCATCCCCCCTTCCCTCCCTTCACCCTTTTCCACCCTCCAAAGAAAAAACAAAAACAAAAACAAAAAAAGCGCCCATCCATAATAGCCACATCCAAAACCTACTAGACTGAAGAGAAAAGATTGAAGAGAAAGTGTTCTTGCAAAAAACTTTATGTATATATATATATATATATATATATATGTGTGTGTATGTGTGTGTGTGTGTGTGTGTGTGTATATATACCCCCATAGCCCATACAAGCACACACATTTCATCATTTTCATTGCCTTTTCTTTTGCTCGCTCGTCTCTATAGCTGATGTGTAGTGTGTAGGTAGGTAGGTAGGTTCGGGTAGGTTCGGGTAGGTTCGGGTAGATTCAGGTAGGGTCGGGGACGTACTGGGAGATGGTAACTTATGATTTATTGTTTACAAACTGTCAATTCGAGTTAAGTACGGTCATGTTATAGAGATGAGGACCTAGGTCAGTAGGTCAGTGGGTCAATAAATATACATTATATACGTGTGTGTGTGTGATGACCGACAGAGTGCATACATGAAATGAAAGCTCATAGATCTGGTTCGAAATTCAGCATTGCTGGTAAACAGTGGGCACGAATTGTAGCGATGATTCCATAATGATCATACAAAAGTCATGAAAGTGACGGCTGCCACAAGATAAACGGTAAGAAAAGTTCATGGGACGGACTATCAATCTATTCGGTCGGTCGGGTACAGTGAAGACCAAGTGTGCTCTGGAGAGACACTCTAAATCATCGCTGCGCCCGAATGTATGCAAAAAGCAAATGAAGAAAATCTTGTTGATGCCCCCCAGCCGACTGATGAAGGCTTACTTCTCTCCCGACTCCCAATACAGGCCTACCCTAGGAAACACCATTCCCAAACCGGCCTAGGAATTCTCCCATGCATGCAAAACAGAAAGAACTATAGATTACAAATGACTAGTCGTAGAGACTGTCATCCTCACCAGCATTACCGAACCCAGCAGCTCCACCCTCAGCATTGGCAGCGGCCTCTCCAGCCTCGGGGAACTTGAAGAAGGCACCAGGTCCAGAACTCTTCATGCTCTGAGCGAAAGCCTCGTATCTACGGATCTCAACATCGGAAACCGATCGGCGAGCGGATGACATAGCCTCCTCGAAATGGGCCTTGGTCAACTGAGGAACTGGATCCTCTGCATCATCGTCCTCCATATCAACGTCTCCCCCGGCAGCCTCCAAAGCCTTGCGGCGCTCAATATCCAAAGATATGGCTTCCTTGATGGCAAGCTTGACAGCACGTTGAGTGATGAAGCCCAGATCAGCACCAGAGAAACCGTGGGTGCGGGAAGCGATGTAAGTAAGGTCGACGTCAGGAGCGACTGGGGTCTTTCTGAGTTGTGCCTTAAGAATACCAGCACGAGACGACTCGTTGGGGAGAGGAACATAGACAAGGGTATCAAGACGACCGGGTCTGCAGAGAGCATTGTCAAGTTGCTCAGGTCTGTTGGTAGCACCAATGACGAAGACGTTCTTCTTGGATGTCATACCGTCCATTTCTGCGGAAGGTTAGTTCTGGTTCCGGAAGAGGATAATCGTAGACTTACCAGTCAAAAGTTGGTTCACAACACGGTCAGAAGCACCTCCAGCGTCACCGTTCGATCCGCCACGTGACTTGGCAATGGAGTCCAACTCATCCAAAAACACGACGCAAGGAGCAGCGGCTCTGGCCTTGTCGAAAATATCTCTGATGTTGCTCTCAGACTCTCCAAACCACATACTTAACAACTCAGGGCCCTTGACTGAGATGAAGTTGGCGGAACACTCGTTGGCGACAGCCTTTGCAAGCAATGTCTTACCAGTACCAGGAGGACCGTAGAAGAGAACACCGCGGGATGGGGAGAGACCGAACTTGAGGAACTTTTCGGGATGGTCGACGGGATATTGGACGCTCTCGATAAGCTCCCGCTTGACCTCCTCGAGTCCTCCAATATCGTCCCAGCGGACGTTTGGTACCTCGACAACAGCAACCTCGCGGAGAGCAGATGGGTTGGAAACACCAAGGGCGAAGCGGAAGTTGTCCATGGTAACCCCCAGGGAGTCAAGAACTTCGGCATCAATTGTATCCTCATCCAGATCGATGAGATCCATCTTCTCACGAATCTGTTGCATAGCAGCCTCAGAGCAGAGGGATGCAATATCGGAACCGACGTAACCGTGAGTCTCAGACGCAATCTGCTCAAGATCAACATCATCACCCAACTTCATGTTCTTGGTGTGGATTTGAAGAATCTCGAGGCGGCCAGTTGGGTCTGGAATGCCGATATCGACCTCCCGATCGAAACGTCCGAAACGACGAAGGGCAGGGTCGATCGAGTTGGGTCTGTTAGTAGCGGCCATAACAACAACGTTCGATCGAGCCTTCATGCCGTCCATCAGGGTAAGGAGTTGGGAAACGACACGGCGCTCAACCTCTCCGTTGGTCTTGTCACGCTTTGGGGCGATAGAGTCGATCTCATCAATGAAGATAATCGCAGGAGAGTTCTTCTCGGCCTCCTCGAATGCTTTGCGGAGATTCGATTCGGACTCACCAGCCATCTTCGACATGATTTCGGGACCGTTGATCAAGAAGAAGAAAGCACCAGTCTCATTTGCCACAGCTCGAGCCATGAGTGTTTTTCCAGTACCTGGAGGACCGAACATAAGGACACCACGGGGAGGCTTGATACCGATGGACTTGAAGAGCTGAGGATGGCGCAAAGGAAGCTCGACCATTTCGCGGATCTGGGCCATCTGCTTTCGGCATCCTCCAATATCATCATATCCAACCTCGTTCAGGTTACCCTCCTCATCCTCGCGCTGGATGGGTTCGCCTTCGCAATGAATGACGGTATCTTGTGCAACAATTCCGTATTCCGGAGGATCGACCTCCACAACCTTGAACTCGACTTGTCTCATACCACCACGGACTGTGAAAAGGTCGCCCTGACGAACGGGTCTGTATGCCTCCCGGAAGTATGGGGCGAGGAAGACATCGAAGAGAGACCCGGTGAGGCCTTCAACGGTATCGGCGATAGGAAGGACAGCAATGCGCTTGGCCTGTAGGGATTGTCAAAACTTGTTAAAGATTAATCTGTGAATAAAGAAGCTTACGTATTTGATGTCGGGGCAAGGGTGAACGGTGACGACATCGCCGTGCTTGACGCGAAGGTTATGTCTAACAACACGGTTCATACGCGCGCTCCCGTCATCCAACTCCTCATCGGCGAGAACGATTAGAACAGTGTCCTTGCGCTTCTTTCCCTTCACCAAGACGGTATCGCCACGGAACAATTGGAGCGTCTCCATAGTGTTGTTGGACAGAGCGATCACAGAGTTATCATCGGTAGCGGCATCGGTGACCCTATTGCCACCTTGTCAGCTTTGACATCCTAGGACGTAGACCTGCGAGATTCTTACATCAAGGAATTTGGCTTCTTCTTCTTTTTCAGAATGGCCGTCGCGGTATCATCATTCTGGGAGGCCGGTCAGTTTGAAGTCCAAGCAGCTGCCAGGCATCGTGTCAACTTACAGTCTTGTGCTCAGCACCGGAAGCATCGCTGGTGACTGTCAGTGTTTGCCCACAAGAAGCCGATGAAGCTTGACCCACTTGAGATTGATCTTCTTCTTTTGCTCCTGCTTGATATCTGGTGATCCAGGCTCGGCCGACATGTTGACGGCGGGTCCAGAAGCTGGAGCTGTGGTGAAGGTGTTTCGTTTTCCGTGGGGAGTCGCCGGCGGGTGGGCAAGCTTGTGTATGGGATGGAGAGTGAGTTTGAGTGTGAGAGGTTGCTACGATAGATCGAGGAACCCAAGAAGAGTGTGGATGTGTTGTTGTTGTGTAGTTGGGACAAGAGGAAGAAGTGGTGGCAGGTGAAGGAGGTGACAATAAGTAGTGGTCGGGAGTTGGGGTAATCGATTGTAGAATAGTAGGCAAGCTCAAGAACGGCAGCTCACCCAAAGAGGCTTAGCGTGTCGCTTCTACCCACTTCGAGCGGCTTCGACTCGGCGGGTCGTTTCCAGGCAGACGGAGGCCTGCGTGGCTTCCCGTGATCTTCTGAGTTCCACCAAAAACGATAATAACAACAACAACAACAACACCATCATCAACCACCAAAAGAATAACACGGATTCAATTACAAAAACAGCTGGAAGGAGCTTCAATGCTTAAAATTCAGGATTATTAAAATTGAAGTAATTTTTCTCTCCTGTTTTCATTCTCTTTCTTTTCTTATTTCCTCTCTACCTATTTCCTTCTCAGAAATCTATTGAATCGATGCTACAATGAGTCCCTACAGCGAGTCATGGATTTGATATTGAATATTCAAATGAACAAATTTTTTAATCATCTCTTCGCTCAGTACCTGCTTCTTACATCTTGTATTTTTCTAAAAGAACGGTCGGCAAGCGCGGCCGTCCCCGAATACCCTCCAACAAAGCTTGGTGTACCAGGAAGTCTCGAGAATTTGAAGAGACTGTGTTAATGGCTCCACCAACCCATCACATTATGTCTCTACCTCACCGAAGAATCTCATGGTTATTACCACATCACCCTTCCTCTTTACCAAACAAGCTCGCAGTTTTTGCCGTCGACGAGTTCCATACCCTTCTCCCCAGCTGTAAGCAACCAGTCCAGCAGGCCACAAGCGTCGGAAGCCTGGTGGAAGTGCATCTCCATCACCTCCAGCGCTAGGACTGCGGTGCCCAGTCGCAGCCTTTCCATGGCGGTGATTCTGGCTTTGAAACGGAGTACTGGAGCCAGATCCGGAGACGGGGGACCTGGGAGAAGCCGAAGCTCTGGTGATGGAGGAAGGTTTTCGATGGATCTCGAGATGGTAGAAAGAGAGGGACTGGGTCAAGTAGGTAAAGACTACCCTGAGTTAGAGGTGAGGATGCCAAGATGGCAGATCCGTCGGGAGCGGCTACGGAAAGGCTAGATTGAAGCCGACCCATTTCCTAAGATTTTCACGCTGATTGATGCCAATATGAATAACATTGCAAGCCAAAGAGGGCTTCAGGGTCCTCGCGAGGGTTAAAAGTCTTGGCTTGGCGGTGTCATGCTTCTCTTCAGCAACAACCTAATAATCAGGCATTTACTCGCAATCCTGCTATGGGGTTCCTAAAACGTCAGCATGAAGTGACCATAGTCCCGAAATCATTTACAGCTAGTCTTCCGGTCCAGCCTCCGTACAGTTATGTACCCCATCCACAACACCACAATACAGGTCAGCTAGCGTACAGACAGATCCAGGCCTAGCTAGTTAGCACCTCTATCTCTCTCTGACCACTAATCAATCATCTCACGCCTCCCTAGAATAGGAATTTGCATTTACCCCCCAGAATACGTATAACAAAACCCAATGCCGTCCTCCCCATAACAACAAGAGCCGGGGGAAAAAAAACGCTCACTACGCCAGGGAACCCCAGACCTATAACCACCCATTTCCCAACCTTCTCAAGGGATGTAGGGAACTCGCAAGCAAGCCAGATAAAATATACGGAGTACACCAACAAAGAGCCGATCAAAGATCCAGGAGATTCTGATTCAATATCCAAGATGAAAGAAGAGAGGAAAAAAGAGAGAGGAAAAAGGGGCAAAAGTCGAATCAAGATACCTATGTATAAAAGCTATACATAGCTACATTTCCATCGACTCTTTTCTTCTTCTCGAAAAATAGGGGGGCTACAATATCAAAGACGCTGGTGAAGTAAAGTAAAGATCATCTAGTCAAATACCCGATCATGTCATAGACTGATAAGAAGTTCACGTTACGTCACGTTCCCCGTTCGCTCACTCGTTCGCTCTCAGAGATGCCAGAGCGCAGCGGGAATCCCGAGCGGGAAAAAAGAAAAATATCAATGAGGTCTCATCCACCCGATCAACACCCGCGGCCCCCTGTTTTTTCCAGGGCATTTATAGACGGACCTCCCGTCTCTTCTCATCAGCGGAAAGAAAGAAGAAGAAATAGAGAAAAGATTGCTTGAGCTCTGAATCCTTTATTGTCTTCTGCTATTATCGTTTTCTCCTCTATCCGTTGAATGGAAAGGGGGGGGGAAATATAAAATAAACACCCTGTCTATATCTGTACACGGGTTGCTGTCCTTTCTATCCCAGTTTTTCGTTTCTAAAAGAAAAAGGAAAAAGAACAAAGGAAACAACAAGTTATACACAAACACGCCTCTCTTCTACTCCGACTGTCTTATGGTGTTGTCTGTATCTTCCCTTATAGTGCACTGCATTCCTGCTTGTCTTTTTATTCGCGGGATACATCTCGTCCGAAGGCCTTGGACTTCAACCAGTCGAGAACGACCAGGACACGGTTACGAGCTTGAGAGTATTCGTCAGCCAAGATCTTTTGACAGGTCGATTTTATCAGAAGGGCACTTACTGCTAAAGCACATGCTTAAATACGCACTTCTCCAGAACAGATAGGTCAAGCCACCACCAGTCGCAAAATTGCCATTTAACCAACTCACGTCCGCTACCGCGCGCTCACTACCAATGTATGCCAAAGAGCCCTGATGGGTGTAGTGGAACGGCTTGATATCCTTGACTCGGCGCAATTGCCTCTCATGCGACTCGATTTCCTTTGCGATGCCAGCAGCGTCTCCAGGTTGCAAGTTAAGCGACGAGCTAAGCTCGTGGATCTTGCTCTCGATGGCTTCGCTCTTGGCCATGGTGTTGAAGAGGCGGGCGAGAAAGGCACCTTCCTGTGCAGCGACTTGGGCGGTTGGCGCGTAACCTGCGACGGCACAGTCACCGGTGGCCCAGATATCCTTGGCGCCTTGTACGACGAGGTATTCGTTGACGGCCAGTCCTCTTCTCGAGTCTTTCTGCGCGGGGATGCTGGCCATAAGGTCCTTGACGATGGGACGAACCGCATTACCAGTGGCCCAGACGAGCAGGCCATACGGCATGACCTCCATAGTCTTCTTTCCATCAGGGCCAGTTGCCTCGGCTTCTACGGTGGTATCCGTGACCTTCTTGACAGCCGTCTTAGTCTTGATGGTAATCTTCTCTTCCTTGAAGGTTGACTCGGTGTAATCAATGAGTTGCTTGGAGAACGTGGGAAGCACGCTGGGGAGGGCTTCGATCAGAGTGACCTTGAACTTGTCGCTGATCTCAGGAATCCACTTCTTGATGTCCTGGTCGAAGAAATCCTGGAGCTCACCGGCGAACTCGACACCAGTTGGTCCGCCACCGACGACAACCATGTGAAGGAGACGCTCGACCTCCTCGGGTGTCTGGCCCTTGAAAGTGGCAGTCTCCACGCAGTCCATGATCTTCTTGCGGATAGTCTGGGCATCACCTATCTCCTTCAAGAAGCAAGCGTGCTCCTTTACACCTTGAATACCGAATGTAGCATTCTCAGCGCCAACACTAACAACAAGCATATCATAAGCGACCTCGGTCTTGCTGGAAGTTCCTTTGATGTCAGAGTTGTCATTGATGTAGACAATCTTTCTCTGTGAGTCGATCTTGGTCGCCTCTGCTTCGTAGAACTTCACGGCCGCTTGCTTATGTCTGGTTATGCTGCGGATAGGCTCCATGATGGATCGGTGTTCGACGGTGCCGGTTGTGCATGATGGCAGGAGGGGCGTGAAGAGGAAGTAGTTTCGGGGAGAAATAACGATAACGTTGTAGTTTTCGGTGTCGAGCTTCTTGAGGAGAGATACGGCGCCCCAACCTGTGCCTGCAGACGATTAGTTAGAAGTCACAAACATGCCGGTATATGTGCATCAAATTCGTACCCAGAATGACGAGGTTCTTCTTCGTTGGATCCGGTTCGAATTGGTCGTCTGGGTGTCTCAACTCATAAACTCCATAAGCCATATAAGCTGTGCCTATAATCGCAGAGGCGTATGTGAGGCGCCAAAGAGTCTTGAAGAACGGGAAGCGGCGCTTCTTTGCCTTCTCAACGGGAGCGGGAGCGATATCTGCGTATGCGCGACGCGAGGTCTGGTGCAACTTGCTCTGCTGCAAGAGGATCCGGGACGTTGATCGCGGCGCGCGAGTGAGGGGAGTTGGTACTGTCGCGAAGGACCGGCGAGCAGCTGCCGTGCTGAAGCCGATTGAAGAGGCAGGCAGCCGCATCATTGATCTCGTCGTCGTGGACGCCATGCCTCCACAAGTCTGGAGAAGATAGAGAGGGGAGGCGTTTTCTAGGAAGCGAAGATATGAAAAGCTGGATGGGAGTGCTCGGATACCAAAGGGCGGTGATGACCCAAGCTATTATTGTTTTCACGAGCTTGGACCGGGACTGCACCAAAACAAGAAAACTGGTCATTTGAGCCTGTGAGAAATAATCCAGCCGCACCGGTTGGCATGGCGCGGATAGTATCCTGCAATCATCCTACGACGAATCTTCTTGGTCTTGGAATTCTTTTGTAGTATGTAGTTTGTTGATTCTCGGTTGGTTTGGTTTGGTCTGGGAATCATCTCGTGTTGACGTTGTTGTTCATCCCGATAGCCGCTCGGGAAGATTCCGAACCTCCGAAGTGTCTGTCATGTCTCTGTCTGTCAAGTCGTTCCCATCTTTCCTACCCGTGATTCCGAGGTGACAGAGGAAGATACTCCAACTCGAAGTTGGCCCGTCAAGTTTTTGGTTGGTTCATCAGACGGTTGAGAGAGCAGATGACCACTCTAAAGCAACAAACTATAGATAATACTAAAGCCTCAGATCAAAAGCTCTTCTCAGACCGAGGCATAACAATATTTCTCTCCATTCGTCATCCGGTAGCTTCCGAGGCTCTCTCACACATGCAGAACAACTTACAGATATCCCCCTTGTTGTCATAGTCCATCTGCTTGACCGAAGTGGAAGCCTATAGTTTCGTATATGTTGGCACCAATCATGTTGAGGAAGTAAAATCCCTTTGGGTCTGTCTAGATTTTAGGCTTCTGCTTGTCTGTCTTTCCAAATATGGTAACGCTGTGTTTGTCAGTATGCATCTCTATCGCACACCAGATATCGAGATAGAGCAAAGCATGGCAACTAGGGAGAGCCTCGAGGATGATGGACATCCAGCCATAGTCTCCGGGCCAGAGGCTTGAAAGACTCGGTCGGAGTCGGAGTGGGATCTCCTGTATTTAAACAAGAGGCAAAGAGAGGGACAAGGTGTCGTCCAAACATCGCAACGCTAAAGCTCCTGATCTCGTTCAAGATCCATTTGTTCAAGAACGCGTCGCTTATACACACCCAGAGCCATGCCAGCAGCATCGAATAGCCGTCAAGGCCTCAGTTTCGTCCGATGCCCCGTTTCACCATGGAAACTGCCCTCCCTACACACCTTGACGTTCATCCCCCATGCTACCGCATTCATGCCGAAGATTCATGCCGACCACCTTCTGCTGCTGCACCCACATCTTCCATCTTTCCAACCCTCTCCTCCTCATCATTCGCCGACTCCTTCGCCACGTGGAACAGCGCATCACGAACTCCCAACGGCAGCAAAATGCCAAGTGACGCTCTGTTTCGACTGAGGTCAAGCTTTGATCACCTGAAGACGTGGAAAACGCAGTCTCCTGGGTGATGCTTGCCGTTCCTCGATTGGTCTGCCAGACTGACGTTTTTATGTTAAAGAATGGCGACGCGACAGACGTGCCGAAGACGGGACTTTCATGCCCATCCATCCGCCCTCCTCTGAAGACTGAGGCCCGACGAGGCGGGGTGAGATGGTGCAGTGCTTGTTGCTTACTGGCTTACTGGCTGCTGGCTAGCTCTAATATTACGGCATTCATGCAACCGGCAGAGCGAGTTCGGGTGGCAGCAGACCGCCGTTTCCACGATGGAGCATGTTGTTGCTCTCCGTACGTGTGAGCGAGACGACGAGAGACATCAGACTGGACCCAAGTATATACAAGGTTTTAAGGGTCTTCCGCGAAAGCTTGTTGGATCGCCGTCACCGCACCTGGGATATCTTCTCTGGTTATTCTACGTTTGGATTGGCTCTTTTCCAAAGTAGGGGTGCACCCGGAAGTTGCACAGTTCATGAGACGGGATCTCTTGGCAGGGCTGGACTCTGGTATTTTCCAAGACTCTCTCGCAATTTTCCGAGGTTTGAGCTTCAGTGACGAAACATTGTCGCTGAATCTTGAACCTCTCCGACCGGGCAGGTTCGTAAGGCAGTTCAGTCAAGCGAGGCATAGTAGTTGCCCCGATGCGCATCTCATTTTGAGTCCATGCTCGCTCTGGGTTTTACGATTTCATTTCCATTCCGAGAGTACTTACTGCATCCTCATTTCGGTACGGAAATATTTGGTTGGTGGCTTCGCGGAGTAAGCTCAGGATCTCCAACGACCAAAACGTCAAGTGTACTACTGTATTGCTTTCTTCCAAAGCTTAGTTTAACGTTTAAGGCTTTGATCTACGAATCGTAAAGCTAGCCTTCCGTGATGCATGCATACGGTAAAGTATAGATGAGCTTGTTTTTCTCGGTAGGGTAGGGGGCTGCCGCCGCCTATCACGCTGTACGGGTAGTTCCGCACCATAACTTAAGCGATATACTGTTTACTATATTCTATATTGACCAGTGAGCAGGAGTCCCGAGTTGCGCAAGCGTGACCATTTACAGTAATTTGATAAGAGTATGGCACCTCAACTTGATCTCCGTCTACATTCGTCATAGTCCCCTTCACTCTTCTACTTTATCTGCTCGCAGTGTAGAAGTTGCATCTCGATGTCGTCGGCTCGTCACGGGTTCGAGATTTTGGTGGGACAACAACGACAAACTCTCAAACGGCAGTGCCCGATCATCCCTGATACGAAACATCAAGATCAAGACAACACCGCAACTATGCAATGCATTCTCACCACCTCCACGCTGCTGGTCCTTGCTGATGATCGACCTCAAGCTTCGGTCGCCGCTGTGAATGGCTCTGGGTCGTTCAGAGGTGGAGCACCACAGTCTCAGGTCACCAATCGAATCCTCTCACTCGCGGCGGGCGGGCGATGTAACGCAGCGAGAGCCCAGCCTGAGATGGCTAAGATGTTGCATATCCGCTCCAGGAATCCTTCCACGGGCACGAACCAACTGGACTGCTGTGACTTCGTCCATCGCTGCAACACTGAATCCGGCCCTCAGACCACTGACCACTTGCTCGCTCATACGGCCTCATAGGCACCCTCCTCCCCCACCCCGAATCATGCCGACGCCTCGACTCGATCCGCTGGTGCTTGAGATCACCGTTCGTTCCTGACACACTCTTTTCTTCAGCAACTCGCTCGGTTCCAATTCTTTTCTTTTTGTGCGTCACACGGCTGGCTCGTGATTGATTACATTCGAAGGTCCAGTTTTTGCAATAGACAGCTCTCCAGGCATTCCAACGAAGGGCGGGACTATTTGGCGAGCATCAGTGTATGCTCAGCATACCAGGCACCGTGGCGAAGGATAGATAATACGAAGGGCCAGCGAGCGCCTGGGAGGTTATGAGCACGGCAATGGCACCGTTGGATCAAATACAGCAGGGCCCACTTGGGGTATTGCAACAACGGCGAGACTCTCCAACTCGGTCACATTTCAAGATACTCAACGTGAGGGGCGATGATAATTATGGAGGAAAGCAACGAGTGGACATCAATGGGAATATGGTGCCGCAACCGCTGGCAATACCTGGAACGGGCGTTGATGGAAAGAAATTCCCGCTACTGGCTACTCCTGCTGCGACCTCTTCCGTGATCGCGACCAGGACTATGTACGCTCCTGCGATAGCGGCTTCTCCCATCGGCACTGTTGAACCCACGACTATTGTCGTAACGTCTACGGCTCCTCCAATTACATCTACTATATGGATGACAACCTCGATACCCTTCACCTCATCAACAGCTACGAATTCCACAATTTCCTCGAGCTCACCCAGCTCATCTACACAACCTGGTTATATGGCTGCTGCTGCAGCGAGCATTGTAGGACTTCTAGCTCGGGCTCATGTCGCTGAACTAACAATCTACAGACCGCGCCATCCACAACTTTTTCGCCATCTTCAACGACTATCCCAATTTCCGTACTACCAGCCTGGACGGCGCGACCACAGCTGGGTAGACCTCGAAAGGGTCTGGACGAGCCGGATCAAGACCGACCAGCTAGCACTCCACATATATTAATGACGGCCACCTCTACAGTTGTGACTTCGGCTACAGTAGCAGTAGCGTCTGCTACAATGTCCGCGTTGCCAGGTCAAGATGACTCCCCCCGGCAACAGGAAAGGCCCGGGACACTGTCCAGCAGCGCTACACACTGGCTTATCGCCCTAGCAGCCATAGGTAAGGTCTAATTTTCCGATATCCATTCTTTGGGGGAGAGCGATTTGGGGGAGAGCGAGGAAGTACTAACGGTATCCAGGCGCATTTGTCACCTTTTCCGCTCTGGTAATTTTTCTTTGCTTGAAAATGAAAGGGCGGAGATTTTACTTTGGGGTCTCAACCAAGCACAGGAAGTTTGGCAAAGGGGGCCCAAGAGGCTGGTATGGATGGCGAAAAGAGAACGACGGTTATATGGATTACCCCCCGCAATACTACGCAGGTTACAGCGCTGATGAGAAATCCTCACCGACGCAACGACAGGTCGAGGCTTACTATTCGACATCTGGCTCACCATACCCGATGCCGAATCCAGGAAGCGCTGCTACGCCCTTGGGAAGAAATTCACAACCGCTTGAGCCTTTCCAACCGGGCTTGGTTGACAATTCAAACCCTTTCGTTAACCCTCAGTATCCTCAGACATCCTCGCCGATTGAGCAGGCTGCCCCCACCTTCGCTACTCAGGATTTCTACGGCGTCGGGGGTCAAAATAACATTAACCAGGGCCAAGAACCGTCAAGTGCCTACAGCAACTCACTTAGTTCGAGCGCAGCTGGTGGTAATTTATTTTCGGACTATAGCAACACTGGCAGTAACATGATGCTATCTAGACAACCAGGCTCGCAGAACACGCTGACAACCTCGGGCGCCTACGACCCAAGCCAAAGAGAGATCAACCGCATTAGCTACTTGTCTTCGCTGTCCTCTGGCTTTGGGGACGGGCTCATCATGCCAGAGCCAACAGTTAACGCTGGCGGCTCTCGACAAACCTATCGCCAGTCACGCGACCCCGAAACTGCCGCTGCTAGACTCTCGTGGGGAACTTCCGTACCTGAGGCCCCGGCATTGAAGGGTGACCGAGACACGATGTACACGACTACCTCCCAGGATTCGGCTCCCCGCTTCCGCACCGTCAACTCATGGGTTGCCCAGCAGACAGACCACGTCGACAGGCAACAGCAAAGCGGCCGGAAGATCCCACCGATGCCGCCCATCCCGCATCCTATCCGGACTAATGTTGGAGTTCGTCATAATCGCATGCTAAGCGAGGACACAGCGTTCAGATATCACCCGGGCTCGAGAGTACTGAGCGATCAAGGCTCGAGAGTACCGAGCAGCATCTTGGACACGAAGACGTTTCTAAACTAGGGATTACTAGGATGGAGATAGAGATGGGAATGGTCTGATGAGCTCATGAATTGCATGCAGTCTCGTTCTTGTGTATATAACCTTTTAGTGGTCCCTGAGCCTGGTGCTTAGATGGATAAATTTAGCATAGCGAGGAGTCTTGAGAAGGGAAGGCAAGTGGACGGGAAGGAAGGGAGGAAAGGAAAGGGAAGGAAAGGAAAGGAAGAGAAAGGAAAGGCAAGGGGGAAAGGGCGACATGACGAGCGGACAACAGAAAATTTGTAATGTCCTGAATATGCCGAGGATGGAAGGAGACTAGAATGAAAGTATGTGTGCATACCTAGGTACATACTACGATTATTGAATCTAAAAATAAAAAAAATTATAGCCATATCTGGCGCATCCAGCAACTTCTTGCTCAGATCTGGGACTGGGAGATTCTATGAAACTTGCCTTCTCTATCTGCTGCGAAGCGAGTTCCGCTGCTGGAATTCCGACTTCTGAATCATGCTTCTCCGTCAGAGAATGCCTCGCAACCGTTTGTCGCATCGCTTAAGGGTCCAAGACAAGGCCAGGTATGACGGTCGAGTTATGCTCAAGTGAGTCTTTGGCAAAACTAAGAATAGACGCCCAGCCTCCTTAGCCCTCGGCCCTCGGCCCTCAGCCTCCTCAGCCTCACCCGTGATGAAAGAGGCCGTCTTGTCTCCTTTCTGTTTGCTTTTGTTTCTGTTTCTCGAATCTCAAGTCCTTCAAAGAGCTGTGACCTTGATCATGAAACATACACCCTATCTAACCTAAACTACTACTGCTCACTTCTCACCAGCCAACAACGACTACTTCGTACACCATCGTTTTCAACTCACACATAACCCAACGCGCGGAATTGCCCTGCCCCCTATACCAGCTTAAACCCACACCACACCACACTACACTATACCATACCATACCAAAAGACCTAGAGGTGACACCGCCTCGCAGGCGCAACCAAAATGCTCGACGAAAATCTCCCATGCTTCATCATCAAGCCCTCCTCCGACATTCCCGCCTCCAGCACCATCTTCCTGCGCGAGAATGGTGCAGAAGAGCTCCAACCCGAATACACGCTGCGACGACCTGAGCCGAACCTCCCAGCCTCGAAGAACTGCTACGCGGTAGGCTTGTACGACTCGTACAGCCCTGAGGTCCTGTTTGCCGAGGTGCTGGTGCGTCCAGAATGGCAGCAACCAGGTCTTGCTGCCGCTGAGAACGGGTTGCCGCCGCCACCTGTACCGATCGTGCCCAACGCTTTTACAGTCCAGCTGTACAATCCCGATCAGCAGGTAATCATCAGGCAGATCCCGAGCACGACCTTCAGCTCGGCGTATTGGGAATTCGAGATGCCGCAGAATACCTTCCGGTTACCTTCAGCCTCGTCCCTTGACAGAAGCCAGAGTGACCCTGCAGCTTCATCTCTCACGCCTAAAATTGCGTTTAAGTGGAGGAGGGATGGGAAGCTATCGAAAGATATTTCGTGTTTCTTAGCGGGAAAGTCAACAAATGGCAGGAAGACCAAGGAGCCTGATATCACAGTGGCGATGTTCAAAGGTGGAAAGAATCTCACGATTTACCAACCGAACATGCACAGAGTAGATGTGGAAGATGTCAAGGGTCTCGAGGTGGTGCTTTTGCTCGGTGCAACTGTAATCAAAGACATTTTCTTCAACCCCAACCGAGAGATGTTCAATATCAGTTCTCCTACCGTCGGAGCAGCTAATCCGCATGGAGGGAGGAAGAATAGCGGCCCCTTGATTGCAGGGAAATCCGGTCCACCTCTCCCCCTCATGTCAGGAGCAGTCATGTCTACACCACCACAGAGGACGAATAACATCCCACAATCGCAAATTCCCCCGCAACCCCCCCGCCGCCAGCAGCAGCAACCCGTCTCCAGACCACCCCCTGCTGACCCGCGCACACAATGGGAAATCGACGCCGAAACCGAACGACTAAAACGCATCGTGCAAGAGGAAGAGCGAGCTCGCGCAAAAGCCGAACACGAGGAGCAGAAACGCATCAAGAAAATGCTCGAACAGGAGGATAGAGAGCGGAAACGTCGAGAGCTAGAGGTAGCCAAAGAGACGGAGAGGCTGCGGAAGAAATACGGCGTCCCAGCCCCGCGCGTGCAGTTTGCGCCCAGTCCTCGACCGCAGGCGTTAGCCGCGTTACCGCAGCACCAGAGCGCGCCACATACTGTGCCCACACCGGTTGCCAGGCCGGCGAGCACACCTCACGGGTACAGCTCGGCCGGATTCGGATCTACCCCGAGGCCGCAGAATAGCAGCAGTCCGTATTTGCAGGCGAGCGGCAACCACTCGGCGAGCCCTAATGGGTTTTTTGGATTTGGGGGTCGGAACAAGATACCGAAGAAGAGGAGCGTGTTCTTTTAGTTCTTCTATTGCTTTTTATTCCAGTGACATGATACCAAGCGAAATTGCGTTCATGGCGTTAGAGTAGGCAGGATGGCACTCTTCTTTGGAGAGTCTCTCTCTCCCCCTAAATAATACAGACGATAGTCATGTCATGTTCCAGAGACTGGATCTATAATACTAGCTTCTTTTTCTTCCTCTATTTATGATACAAGGTCATGTTATTTTACATATTTGTGATGTCGGGTGAGGAAATGGCGTGACTGACTGGCTCCGTCGATGATCCAATGTTGCTTTCCCTACGAGCCAGCCAGCCCCCAGTACCGCTCGATTGACCCCGCTGTACGAATATGAATACAAGATGGAGAAACATTGGATGTATATAGCTAGCGTTGGGAGTAACCGATTCTTTACTTGCGCTCACTCCGCAATAAGCTCCCCTCCATTCTTGGGTTGTGGCCGGCTAGTGAGGTGTTGCGAAGTGATTTCGACAGATAGATAGATGAAAAAGGGACGAAGGAGGGAGGGGGTATGAGATGCGAGATGTGTGTAAGTCACATGATCTGTTTTCATTTGTTTCTATCCGTGTGTGGAGGTTTGGGCCTTCTTTTCGTTATTGTATTGACTTGAGAGGTTTGTTTCTGATAGAGATGGCTAGAGGGGAGATGAGAAGGGATGGGGGGAGTGCGGTTGTTATGTGTGACACATGCATTTATATATATTTTTTTTATTATTTATTTTTGAGTAGTAAAGTGGTGGTCAAACGTTTTGTGATTCTAGCCCCCTTTGAAGAGAAAGTTAGATAGATGGAGAGATAGATAGATAGATAGACGTATCTTCTTTGTTTTCTAGAAGACGAGAATCAAGAAGAGAGGAGGTGGAATTCCGAAATAGGCAGGCATCCTTATATATCAGCAATAGGAGTCTGACAAAATCGAAGGGTCCCGATGCAAGTGCAAGGGAGATTCAAGGGCCAAATTCACAGAGAAAAAGTGGTCGAGGAGCCTCGAGAAGTTATCAAGATAGACGAGGTGACTAATAATTGTTTCATTACCATATCCAGCACCTCTCTGTCCGAACTACCTAAGCGAGCGAGCCAGCCAGCCACTTTAGCGACTCTGGCCCACCAGAAACCTCTCCACCGCGCGCGCGAGGTGCCGGTGGACGGTCCAAGTGATGTGTCCAGAATCGTACCAGAAGTAGTCGCCGATGGGCTGGCAGCCGTAGGCCGCGTAGTTGGTGGCTATGTCCGGGGCGTTGAACCTGGGGCAGAAGCCCGTCGTGTTCGTGATGCCGTACCGGGAGGGGTGGTCCATTACTCCCGCGAGAAAGGCGTAGCTGTCGAAGACCATGGCGTGGGCTCCTGGGTGCGCGGCGGTGAACTGGGCGGCGGCGGAGGAGATGGCTAGGTTGTATTGGTGTACCATGGTGCTGTTCGGGAGTGAGGTTGCGCTCAGCTGATTACCCGGCTGGGTTTTATTGAATTTGTCAATATGCTGGGTTGAGGAATGAGTTGGGGGTGGGATGGACGTACTTTTCTGTCCAGTGGGGGGAGGTTCATGAATAGGAAGTTCCGGTAGCCGGCGTCGTATATCTTCGCGACGGAATCCATCTCCGCGTGGATGATCTGGGCGTAGAAAGACGGAAAGTCTGTGGCGTTCTTGCGAGGGAAGGTGAACATGGCTGAGTCGTTGATATCGTTGATGCCGATGAAGATGACGACCAGTGCTCGAGAGACATCGATTGGGAGGACAGGCTTAGCGTAGAGAGACCATTCTAGATAATGTGCGAGTCAGTAAATGCTAACTGCCAACGTCTCAGGACAAAAGAGGCAATGGAAGATCAAGTCCAGGGGAGCTGTCCGAATTGGGAGGTAACCTAGTCGCCCAAGAACGTACGTACGTATGATTTGTTCATCAAGCTGGACCGAGAAGTTGTGATGGCGTGGAAGGCTGTGATATGTGAGAAAATGAGTCACCAGAAGAGATCCTATTCCACGAGCTCTTACAATCTGGCAGAGACATCCGCTCCCGCAAAGGCAAAGTCCCAAAGCTGTCTCGGGCACTCGGAAGGCAGGCCGGAGAAGCATCCCGTCAGGTATTCGACGTAGTCTGGTCCACCCGCTGATGTCTGTACATTTCGCGTCAAGATATAATCTCCCAATGTACTTCGGCACACATACTCGGTTCTTGACGATCTCGCTCGTCAGCAAAGTTTTGGGAGTGTATGCATAGTTCAGATAGTCTCCAACGAATGAGTAATTTGAACGCCCTGCCGTTCCTTGGACGTATGTGTACGAGTCGCCAAAGGCAAGTCTGGTTACATCAATCAGTACCTAATCTTATCAACAGCCTGTGTAAAAGTTCCCTCACATGTACTTCATATCATCCCATCTGAAGCTGGTCGAAGGTTTAGACGTCGTCAAAGCCTGGCTAAGACCGAGCCAACATAAACTTGTCCCTAATGTGACCACCCTCATAATGGATATTCGATACAGAAATGCAGGTATAGAGAGATTTCCATACTGCACCTAACATCGAGGAGATATTTGAGAAAGATTTGGAATGACCCCAAGTATCACGGGCTAAAGTTGAGCGAAGCGGAGCATCTGATCCCGAACCACGAACTTGATCATAGTAACCCCTCTTCCCAATTACGGAGTGTTGATTCGCATGAATAAATGAAGCATAGGTGGATAGCTGCGTCAGATGTTTACTCAATCCAAAAAAAAAGTCTTTCGAACTCTGGCAGTTTGCAGTACGGAGAACAGGTGATACATGAATTGGCAACAGTTGAAGTCCCCAGGAGGAACATTTGAGATCTGAAATGCAAGTATGTGCTCGAGAAATTGCAATCTTCCTTATCGGACGCCAATTCTGAGAGCCGTATCTATTACCGAAAGAGGCTGACAATTTCCCACCAGAGGTGTTGACAAAGAGATTCTTGAATGTATGTGAAATCTTATCTCAAAATCCTCCGCGTTGATTACCTCGATTTTGAACCAGCCTAGTATTGACCAATCAAAGGCCGAAGGTTCTATCGAGGATAACGCGTCTGACTCAAGAACATAATCTATCAAAATGAGCGCCAAACTGTGCTAATCTCGATAACCGAAAGATTCAGATCATGTCTATTTAGTACTTGTAATCCAATGAGTTCAGATTTGCAAAATAGAATATTTACAATCTAAAATTTCGCAGTGTTATTAAATCCTCAAAGCGCTACAAAACCAGCATCCAAATTCAAACCCAAACTAGGCTCATCAATAACGAAAGCTTCTCTTCCACCTATTCCGTGCTCTATTTGCGTACCACCAGCTACGTATTGCAAGCAACTGGGGATCGATTAGTAAAGGTGTGTTATCATAATCGGGGCGGGTCCATTTGCAAATGCTCCAATCAAGCGCGTTCACGATCAAACTGTCATAGCTTTACTACTAGGAAACGCGATAGCTGATGTGCTTGAAAAGGGGGTAAGGGGAAGGGCGGTCCCGCAAAAGCCATCCGAATAACCGTAAGAAATTTCAAACGTATACTACGTATACCGTTATCGCTACCACCTTTTAGTAATTAGCTAGTACAGCCGATTCTCTCTATGAGATATGCCCAAAGATATCTGCTATCTGTCGATATTCAATATTCAATATTCCCAGGTCGGAATTTTTTACAAATTGAATTCAAGGTACCCGACGATTATAGCGTCGGTGCAGCGTGATAAGCGATTATTTTTAAATCCGATTGATTTAAATCCGAAATCCGACCGATTAAGTCCGAGATCTTACGGCCGACATCAATGTCCATACTTATTTTTCAAAATCGACATTTTCGAACAGCCTCGGAGAGATTAGCTAGTAAGGCTGATTTGTAGAGATTTTTCTGTTCATTTATCTTTGTTCAGACAATTTCATATCAATCACGTAATTAGCTTAAAATCTTTAAGTGTTAATGAATAGAATTTGGAAACCACGCCTAATTATTGATATTTAAGTATTATAAAGCTTTTAAATAAGAATTAATAAGTAAAAGTAAGACGTGTCGACACTCGTCTTAGATGTCTTACCTTCAGCGTGTTTTTAATATATTTTATAACGATCGAGTTGATTGAAGTCTCAAAGGGCGTTCCGATGGACAAGCGCTGCGAAAAAAAAAATCAACCCATTTTTAACGGTATAGTTAGTTATTATAACAAGACTAAAACTATATAAGATTGAATTATTATATAACAGAATGAACAGAGAATCGTTCCAGCTACCTCCGAGCAAATATAAGTATAAATTGGCGCTGATATAGCTCGTGGAATGGAAATGTTGACTCGATTTCTAGACACTTCCCATCAAAGTGCGACCAAAAGGCCTTAGACGCACCGCAAAGGGATTCGAGGGTTTGTGGGTCCAACTCAACTGATCAGACTGATTATTTCATCTGGCTACGACGATTTTGTCTCGCTAACCCTGAAATACCGAAAAGCAGCCCGGAAGATTTTGAGATAATGTGAAGTCTGAATTTGAGAAACACCAGGGCCCAAACTGGTTCTGATCAGCGGAGATGGATCTTTTGATCAGCTGCTGATTCGGTGCCAATTGTGATATCTAATATTGATATCCAGCCTGCGTAATTCGCTTATCTTTGCTTCGCAACTGCCTTCTTTGGATCTACCCCGCGCACGTGGAATCTGTACGACATGTCCATGTCCTGCCTATCACTTCGAGATCGATACCGCGATAAGGTGGGTGGGTATAAACGGCATATATAACATGGCCTATCAATCCAAAGTGGGCGCATAAGCAATCACGCCAGTGCTTATCTAGCTCGGAATAATATACTTTAAATAGCTTCCGCAAGGGTACACAAACAACTACCAACCTCAGGCTTGATCTTGGAGCTGTAGATACATCTATACGTATACATCCCCGTCTTCGAAGATCTCACGTGTGTCCTTGACAACCAGATTTGACTATTGAACTACTTTCGGGCCCTGCCGCTATCCTCTCAAAAGAGCAGGTCTGGAGAGAGCCAAGCGATGCAGATACATTTGCACTTCATGTGTCGACATTATTCGATAAGGCTGTCATCTGCTCGATTGAAACATATCTGGCGAAAGAGGACTCTGTATAAGCTTATATCATATACGGATCTGAGCCAAGCAGCTCTGTTCGCCGGAGGAGTCGCCGGAATGAGAAGGTTGGATTCCAGGCAGAGGGGAAGAGTCGTTATTAGCCATGATGTCTATATGCTCGTGCAGATGAGATACGGCCTCTGCATACAGTCGACGAGACGGTGGATTGTTATGATTAAGTCCGAGATGTATAGTCAGAGGAAGACATATATAAGTAGGGTTCGCTGGCTGCTCTAATTCTCACACTTTGATATCTGCATCCCTCTCAGCAAGTATCGCATTCAGTCAGTCCACTTGAACCTCGCTGGCCGCCATGGTTTCCCTCGCCGTCCTCAGCACCCTCCTCTTATCCATATCTACTTGCGTCCTCACAGCACCCATCGAAGTCCGCGCCCCTCCCGGCATCCCCACAACCGCTACAGCAAGGACGCTTCTCGCGTAAGGATTTCTTTCCCAGGAAATAGCCAAATCCCAACTTTCTAGTATCTTAGCTATACATTACTCAAAAGCGAGATCATCTGCTGACTTCTCGGTGCCTGACCCAGCGGCCTCACTGTTGCAGCCCAGGGCCCCCAAACTGGCTACTCGCGCGACCTCTTCCCCTCTTGGATCACCATCTCAGGAAATTGCAACACCAGAGAGACAGTGCTGATCCGCGACGGCACCAACGTCGTTACGAACACAGCCTGTGCCTCAACCTCCGGATCCTGGTTCTCGCCCTTCGACGGAGCGACCGTAAGACTGATTCCCTCCTCTCTCTCTCTCTCTCTCTGCGTTCTGCAACTCAGAATCGTAATCTTATAAAGCTTACTGACAACTTGCCTCTAGTGGACAGCCGCTTCCGATGTAGACATCGATCACATGGTGCCATTAAGCAATGCCTGGAAGTCCGGAGCCGCGGCTTGGACTACTGCGCAGAGACAGGTTTTCGCCAACGACCTGACGAACCCCCAGCTATGGGCCGTCACGGATAACGTGAACCAGGCCAAGAGTGATTCCGGGCCCGAAAACTGGAAGCCGCCGTTGGTGAGTACATCCATCTAACACTCCTACTATCCGAGGAGCAAGTCGCTGCCGTGTACGACGGTTGCTGGGGAGACAGCCACTCCAGAGAAATAATGCTGACGAGATTCGCGTATTTCAGACCTCATTCTACTGCACCTACGCGAAGGCTTGGACGAAGGTCAAGTCCGTGTACGATTTGACCATTACGTCGGCGGAGAAGACTGCCTTGACTAGCATGTTGGCTACTTGCTAGAGGGTGCAAAAGAGCTGGGAGCAGCGATGATATTCATCACTTGAGAAACATGATGCTTATTGGAGTTTAGGGGACTTGTCATTCTAATAGTTAGTCAGTGATTATAACCAACTTCTTCGACTCACTAGTGAGCCCGATCCTCAGCATCATTCCTTCCATAACGGCACCGCGTAACCATTGCAATCATTGACTTCATCCACCAGATCTGTGACACGAATAACTTCGATCTCTCTACCGGCTCCAGCAGCTATAGCTCTTCCGTCGAGTTCTGAAAACAGCAATTTCTTCGTCCAGGTCTACATATAGATTCGCCCACCTCCCATAGCCAAAAGAATCCCGGGGCATTCTCGCCCTCTTTCAGGCTGACCCTCACTTATACCCAAAACTCCTGGGCTTGCCCAATAACTGCTTAAGCTTCCTACCACAGTCTTCCAGCCACGGTGGCAAAGCCTTCATCCGGTAGCGATGGTTACGCCACCGACGTAGCTGGTCAGACCGCTCGGAAGCTTTACACATAAGCACTACTCGAGCAGTAAGACTGAAAATTTATCGGTCAGGCAAATACGAAAAGATCGTCGCACAGCACGTCCGCTTGCAATCAACAGATGGGTCACCTGTGTTCGTTGTACAGAGAAGAGTTGAACAGGCTGAAGCTGAGCCAGCTTTGATTCGATGTCTATTTTTGGGTTCGAAAGAGACGCCTGGGCGTGACGACATCTCACCTCCGTATTCACGAGGTGCTACAGTAATCGTACCCCTGGTCGGAGTACTAGTCAGAGGCGTTGCGGTTCCTAGTACCCTTCAGCGATACCGTCAAATTTTTGACCTTTTTTATTGCAACATATATTACTTACACACTTTTTGATTGAAAAATTAATAATAAAATACCATATCGTTCTTTAGTATTAGACCTACTCTAGGAAAAAAAATTAGGAATCAATGGAGTTTTGGAACGCAATTATATCTGTATTTCAACCTCGTTCGCGCTTATTTAATACTATTCTATTGTATATACAGCTGAATAATTAAATAACCACAAATAATTACTTGTAGCCTTCTGAAAAATCGCAGTCGCTAGCTTCGAGTCTATATCGCAGTATATTTTCAATATCCCAACGTGAGAGTAGATTTATCGATGATCATAATTCGTGTTTTTTTAAGTGTACCGATCAATTCAAAAGCCTCGCATCTTTACTTATTAGACAGCTGCGCAACGCATCATAATCAATTCATCACAACACGTATACTGATTTTTTATTTAAAAAATAATAAATATTAAAAACAAAGTATACCTACTTAAGCCTCCACATTATCTATACGATAATGCGTTATTTAAGCTCTTTTTATAATATATGATTTTCGGCTTCTAAATCTCGCGTTAAATAAACGAAGAAGAACAACGAATTCAGCGGCAATCGTGCTCGGTTTAATGCAAGAATTAAATATTCTAAAAGCTATAGCTCTAAAGATTTTATCTCCCGTGTGGGCATTATGTTTAGTCATAGTGTTCATAATCAATCGCGTGTAAAAGAAAAATGACGAAAAAATTGACCGTATCGGTGAAGGGTACTAGAAACCGCAAACCTTGCCTCTGACTAGCACTCCGATCAGGGGTATGATTAGGCGATGTTGATCTCACTCGCCTAAACTATATCCACCCTATCCTTTTTTCTTCGAAGTATATTTATTACCCAGCCCTCCCACAGTTCGCAAAGTTAATCTACATATCCATTTCATATTCATCTGTAATCGGAACTCACGGATATCAAATATGTATCCTTCGTTATTTCAGCTGCTCGTCGGGTCCCTGGTTGCCGCCACCTCTGTAAATGCAGCTGCTCCATATAGTCCAAGAAAGCCCCGGAACGATGTCCTTGATTGCCTGACGTCCAAGAACGTCCCTTTTGTTGTGAAGAGTGACGGGAATTGGACAAGTTATGCGACGCCGTACAACCTTCGACTTGTTTATGAGCCGGCAGTTATTACTGTCCCCGAAACACCGGAGCAGGTTGCATCTTCGGTTACGTGTGCTGCAGCCGCGAGTCTGAAAGTTCAAGCCAAAGGGGGCGGGCATTCGTATGCAAGTTACTCGAGTGGCGGCAAAGATGGGAGTTTGATTGTTGATATGGAGAAATTCGCATCGATCGATGTTGACAAAAGTGAGTATTATCAATCAAAGAGATCTCGAATATCGGTCCTCTAACGGCGGAACAGGCACCTTCATTGCGAAAATTGGAGCCGGGCAAAGACTGGGAAACATTGCCATAGAAATCTTCGATCAGGCCCAGCGGGGTCTCCCCCATGGAACTTGCTCGGGGGTGGGCATTGCAGGTCATGCTTTACACGGCGGGTACGGCTATGCGTCAAGAAAATGGGGCATCACTCTTGATACCATTGTCGGAATCGATGTTGTCCTCGCCAATGGATCACAGATCTACACTAGCTGCGAGTCATACCCAGATGTCTTCTACGCTATGAAAGGAGCAGGAGATGCATTCGCCATTGCGACTTATTTCTACCTTCAGACCCAGCCAGCTCCAGCCTCCGTCACGTATTTCAGCGCCGATCTGGCTGCGTCCCTGACCAACGTTGAGACCGTCACGGCAGGGTTCGAGAAGCTCCAAAACTTTGTGCTCACTTCGCCGCTGCTCACCCCCAATATCACTCTCGGCATGTACACCGACACGAGCGGCTTATTCAGCATCAGCGGATGGTGCATGGATTGCGACACGGCAGCATTCACCAACTCGGTCTTCCCAGCGATGCTTGCCGGGTTCCCAGGAGCGGCTTCTCCCACCGTCACACAGCAGGGCTGGATCGAAGCCCTCACAGTTCTCGCTGACCCATATCCTCTGGCACAGCCACTGGGCCACGAATACACGTCCCACGACACCTTTTACGCGAAATCCATCGTCTCGAAGAACGCACGGCCGCTAACCACCGCTGCTATCCGCGCCTTCTGGGCCTACATGGTCGACAACCAAGGCAAAGGTCCCTTCTACTCCATCATCAATCTCTACGGTGGCCCTGGATCGGCCATCAACGCGCCGTCGCCGGACTCATCGGCCTACTCTGAGCGAGATACGTTGTGGGTCTTCCAGAACTACGAATCCACAGCCGCCCAGCAGCCTCCCTACGACCCGGCGGCCATCGGCTTCGTGGATGGCCTGAATGCTGCCGTGGAGAATGCCCAGCCCGATGGTGATTTCTCGGGCTACATCAACTATGTGGACTCGGACTTGGATGCCATGACGGCCGCCGAACAATACTACGGTGCGGCGACGTATAACAAGCTGCTGGATATCAAGATGCAGGTGGATCCGACCTTTGTGTTCTGGAACCCGCAGGCTGTTGGAAACTCGATGGCTCTACCAGTTTGATATGAAGGAATTTTACTGTTCGTAATTCTCTGTATCAAATTTCTTCTTCTTTATTCTTTTTCTGGCAGACCGAATCTTTACACAACCCAAATCCATTAGCCCTGTTGTTTAGTCTTGACACCGATACTTGTCTATAGCAGTGGAGTTATCTTGAAAAGTCCCTTGATTCAGAGCCAGAGCCCTATTCTCAGTCTACGATCGAGCACATCAAGAATCGTCACCATCAAGTAACAAACTTCGCTAGCTCTGGCCCTGTCAATACGGAAAGAACGACAAATCTCACGTGAAAAATTTGGTTAAGCAACATCACGCATGTTCCCATCTGGCCATATTTTCCCTCCAGCTAAAAATATCGATTTTCCCCTCCTCTGTAGCTATATCAAAGAATACCCAATCCCAAACGCCTTCCTTGTTGTGATCATAAGCTCACTGTACAATTACGATATGTAATCCAAGTTGAGCTCCTAGCCTGGCTGTTACCCTCAAAGTAGGAAAGACAGGAGAGAAACAAAAAAGAAGAAGAAAAAAAAAAAGCCAACTTTATTTTTCGATATACACCCCGAAGCAGCTCGCTGCCACCAACCCACCCATTCCCTTCCCTGAACAATTTCCAATGCTTCTGTACCCGCAAGACCAACGCAGAGGAACAGATTCATTAATATTCTTTCGACAATATAAAATAATATTGCACCACGTCAATATAAATTCTGATGGAGTAGCTTGGTATATAAGTTCTTATGCTTCAAGAGTCCACCGAATCTCGCTGTACACACAAACGCTCGCTGACTTCGGTAAAAAGATCATGTCCCTTTCTACGTATATCCCAAAATACCGCCTACTATGTTTTGTAGATATCACTGTCACTAAAATATTGTTAGCAATTACTAATGTCAGGGCAGGAGACCGGCACTCACAACTTCCCGAACTGATCTCTGCCCTCCGCTTCCTTATTCACCCAGACAGCCAGGCTTACACCAGGGCAAGTAAACATCCCATATCCCTCGGAATCAATCTCCACTTCCCCTTCTCCCCATCCAAGAACATCCGTCCACTTCTCCCCCGCATGCATCTCACCCACGTGCATTCTCTTCTCACCAGGTCCGGCATTGCTCATGACTGTGGCACATCCGAATCGCTTGTCCCAGGTACCGTAGCGAACCCAGCCAATGCAGGTAGCAAAGTCGAAATAATCGGCTTGTTTACCATAGGCATAAAGTTTACGGGCCAATATCAGGGATGGAAGAGCACCTCCGCAGGAAGGTGGGAATGGGTGCTCGCCTTTAATACCGTAGAGATCACCATAGAAGACGCAGGGGTAGCCGCGATCACGCAAGAGAATCAAAGCGTAAGCTAGCGGTTTGAAGAAGGGCTCGATGGCAGCCTCAAGGGCTTGATAGGGTTGAGTGTCGTGGTTCATGACCAAAGTCTGTATTCATTAGCATCATCACAAGGAAATTCCGAGAGGGGACTCACCACAGCATTGATAGGCTCGACCTGCACTAGCGTATCATCAAAGACCTTTCTCAAGTCCCCTCCCTCAGTCTTGCTCAACTTGCTAAAATTATACACCAATGGCGCGTCAAACAAGCTGAACTTCTTACCCATGCGCTGCAAGTACGCACTCATGTCCGACAAACTGTCTTTCCAAAACTCTCCGACGAAGAACCACCCCTCACCGTACATCTCGTCCATTAGCGTAATGAACTTGCGCAGAAAGTCTTCACTAAAATGCTTCACCGCGTCGAAACGCATGCCCTTGATCTTAATCTCCTTGCTCAACCAAGTACCCCAATCGAGGACGTCTTTTTCAACTTCTGGGTGAGAGTAATCAAGATCGGCGAACATGAGGTAGTCGTAGTTGCCATTCTCGGAATCGACATCGCCGTCGACCGCCCAGCCCTTCGTCTTGTCTCCGAGAATCTTGTAGATGGCAGTCTTGCTATTGCTGGCATTGTAGTCTGTTCCTGAGAAATGGAACCAGTGGTACTTCTGCGCAGAGTATTTCTCACCTCGACCAGGGAAGTCAAAGCCTAGCCATGCATCGATCTGATACGGGTCCGAGATGGTTTTGTTGCGGTCGTTGGAATCGACTTCTTGGACTTGGCACTTCTCCTTGTGGTCGGCAGCAGCTTTATGGTTGAGCACTGAAGATATAATGTCAGAAGATAGCATTTACAGCTACGTGGACATGCGACATACCTGCATCCCAGTAGATCCCTACACCAACCTCGTTGGCCTTCTTCACCATCGCCACGAGCTCTTCCTTGGTACCCCATTTCGTTGCCTTGCCTCCCTTTTGATCGAATTCACCGAGGTCGTATAGATCATAGATATCGTAGCCATTACCAGAAGGGGAAGAGGCTTTGCATCCTGGGGGGACCCATATGTTGTCGATCCCAACGGCTTTCATCTGCAGGACGTTGTCGTGGAGCCGGATCCAGTGCTTATGATCGTCTGGCACGTACCATTCGAATGCTTGCATCATGGTCATGTTCTCCGGCGTGGGCTTCTGCTCTACTGCGAATCAGCTTTGGTTCCAGACCAGCTGGGAATTACAACATACCATAGTCCCCCATCTTGTCTGCTTGTTCCCTAGTCTCTGTAGTACTTTTGGTTGTTGACCTGCTCAAATTTGGAGTTTGTACAAACGATAGACGAGAATTGGTTCAGCCTTTGAAGTTTGAAGTTTGAAGTTTAAAATTTTGTAGATTGGATTTGAAGGCTGAAGTTTTGAAGTTGAAGAAGGGACGAAGAGCATGAAGATCTCAAGAGCAACCCCTCCCCCACCAAGACACTATAAGGAACGACTTTGGACCCCTGAAATACTGCAGCTGCGTGGTGACATGACGTAGAAGGCTCACATCTCCTCTGCGGAAGCCATTTTCACTTCATTCCATTCTTTCTTGCGGATACAGTACAGGATGAAGTAAATAAAAACTCGGCTGCCGCATTGTGCATGATGTTGAGCACCCTTACACCACAGGGCCGTTGGTTGTATGTGGGAGGAGACTGAAGAGATGGGCGAAATCGAAGACAAAATTCCCATAGCGAGGTCTGGAACTGGCTGCGTCACTTCGCTTCTCCGAGCAGCCTCGCCCAGTGCTCAGAATAATTTCTAACTATAGCCAACGCGCTTAGCGCTTGGGCGTAGACCAAAGCTGGCGGGTGTCAAAGAGCCAGGCCGGCCGGGAGATGGATGGAACGCCATCAGTGGGTCTAGGAAAAAATGTGAACTTTGAAGAGAGAAAAAAAAGGACAATTGATTTACATGATCATTTTACAACGGTACGACAGATAAAGAATTTCAATTCATTTCTGAGAAATGGCACAACTCCTTGGTAATATATTCTCTGTCCGACGTGGCCTTGTCAAGCGGTGCGGTTTTGATGCACGAAATTGTTTCTTGTTGTCACAGGCAACCACCGATTGAAATCAACAACAGAACTCGCAAAAAACAAAGCTCTTATGCACCAATAATTCGAGCCCAATACCGATAAGACCTAACATATACCACCACCAACAACCACGAAGGATCTGATATATAACACTGCGCTGTTACTCTCCATATGCAAACGGGCTGCTGTATGAGCTGTCTTGCCACGTAATTTAGAGTATTTGACGGACAAGCTGCCCCCTAGGAAGTCGTCGAGATGCGAAACACAGCTTCCCCGAAAGACTTCGAGATACATGTGGACCCTTCATGTTTGTCGGATGATCCCAGCCAGCCCGAAAATACGATGGGAGATGCTATAAAGGGGGACCCTGCGATCCAGGAAGGCGAGATGTCGCCCGAAAGCGTCCCGAGTAACCAGACGGTGGTGCACCATGACTCTGAGACCAAGGAGGATATCAAAGCTAAGAGTCCAGATGATGAGGAAGATACCAGTACTTCAGGATCCGCAGAGGACCACAAGGAGAATGTGCCAGCCCCCCTCTCGCCGCAAAAAGCCTCGGTCGAAGAGGTCGCCGACGAGGGCGGAGCACAAGAGCCACAACCAGAGCGGGTTGGAAAGGATGGAAAATCTCCAGCCCGAGAACGCCAGCTGGAGCGTATAGGGGAACAAATCCGTGCTGCAGCAAAAGCTGTAGTCGCCAACATCGAGCACGACCATTACAACGGATTGGCAGATTCAGAACTCAGCATGCAAACAGAGGAGGTCTGCGAACGGGAAGACACAGAGATGACATACGATGGCACAGAGTTGAGCTACGGTGATGGGACTCAAATCACGTACGGCGATGAAAGCGAAGCAATCTACGAGACGGACAATGACCACCATGTGAACCACGAGGAAGAGATAGACCCAACATACGAACTAGATCATCAATCTGAACAAGGGAACGGAGACTCCAGCGACCATCACGACGAGGCTGATGTCGATAACGACGACGTATTCAGTCATTCTGACCGCAGCAAGCGAAGCAGCATGAATTCCGAAATGCATAGCTCAGATGATAACCAGAAGCTCCTGACTTCTCCAGTGGTTGGGGAAGAGGCCGGATCCGCCAAAGAGATGAATGCTATCTCCAGCGCACCTCCATATATGTTACAAACGCCAGCAGACTCCACAACCCGAACCCCAAGCAAAGTCCTCGCGAGGCCCCCCTTCCGAACCCCCTCCTCAGTCCGTGCAATGCAGATGTCCTCTCCTACACAATCGGCCTTCTCAGCCCCTCGCTCGTCCAAGAGACATATGCCAACTGTCTCTCGAATCGGCACCCCCAATTCTCAATATACTCCTTCCAAACGAACGCCTACTCGCTTCAAGGCGAAGAGAGAACCTCTCGTCCTGCTACATGTCACTGTCCTCCCTCTTCAATGGCATTACTCATACTTAATGTCTTCTCTTGAAATACCCACAGCATTAAAAACCGTCAAAGAAAGCTGGAGACTCCTCCAAGAGAAACTAGGAGACACAGTCCTCGAACGTGGTATTCTCCTTCCTCACCCGCAAGACTCTTACGAGATACTTGAAGAGCGTCTCCTTGAAGCTCTTGAACTGCCAGTGCGCCCTCGTGCCAAAATTCTACGATGTGGACACTACATGGGGCCAGGAGACTCCGAAGCGCCGAGCTCGGACGAAGAAGGTGGCGACGATAATTGGGGAGGGGAAGCAGGCGAGCAGAGAAAGTGGTGCGATATATGCATGCGAGATGTGCGTCTCGAGACTGTCGGCGACGTTGGCAGAGGGGAACGTCGGTTCCGGGTGAAGATATATGCAAGTAACGGACTGATGAGGGCTGGTGCTTGGGCGGCCTGTTGGAAGGAGATGGAGAGGGTAGATGTGGAGCTTGAGCCGTTCATTGAGACGCATCAGCATGCTGAGTTGGAGCATCTGGCTCTTGTTGCGAAACCCAAGGCCGAGGAGCAGAAGGAGCTGGATGATGGATTTGAGGATGAGGATATAGTGGTGGATCATATCCACGATCATGAAGCCGAGAAGCGACGGGAAGAAGAAGATCGAATGCGCGAGGAGGAAGCGCGATTGCACGACGAAGAGACAAGACTCCATGAGGAAGAGCAGATGCGGAAGCAATTGGCCCTGGAAGAAGAGCTGCGCCAGCGAATGGTGGAAGAAGAGGATCTGATGAGGAAGAACATGGAGGAGCAACGCATGGAGGAGCAACGTATGAATGAGATGTATGGACAGGAGTGTCCAGCGCCATCGGAGTCTCGACGCAGCTCCTCTAGAATTGCCGTTCACGACGACTCGTCGCTCCCAGAGCTACTATTGGCGGCTTTCCAAGTGGCAATGCGGGATTCGAAGAATGTGGTTATCTGTGTCCTGAGTGTCCTGATATTGCTGCTTTCACTCAAACCAACGAGCACACCTGAACGCACGCATTCATCGGCCGTCATGGGTTCTGCTCCGATGGTAGAACAGATCACGAAAACGGTCTACCATGAAGCGCCAGTGACAGTAAAGCCTGCCGCTACTATTGAGCAAGTGGTGCAGGTGGATCCGAAGCCAGTCGAGAAAGAGCCATTGACGAAAACAATCTTCAGAGAGTTTACTGTGACTGAGATAATTACCGCTGCTACATCTGTCGCATCTGAGAGTCCCTCTACATCATCGGAGCCGTGCGAGCCTGCTTCGAAAGCAGCAGGGCAAAGTGTTTCCTCTGTCAGGCCCGAGCTGGTGGAAGCGGATCCCTCTGCTAAGGTTATCGGACACCCTGTACCTAGCGCCGAACCCGAACCCGAGGCCGAGGCCGGCGATATCATGAAGGGTACGTCTATCCCTGAAGGAGAGGTACCCATCTTAGTAGCCGAAGCAGCCCCTATTCTACTTGAGGAACCGGCTGAGAAACTCCTCACACCTCTGGACCCATCCCTCCCCCTGGACTCCAACCCAGACTCGGCTATCCTCACATCCGAGGCCGAACAAGACTCAATTACAGATTCCGACCCGACCGAATGAAAACGGGCCGATGAACGACAGAAAATACCCTCAGACCATCTCTCTTGCCCTGCGAAAATCTGTTGATACGCACTTGCGCAAGCGTTGTTTTTAATTTTGCCTTCTGTTTTGAACAAGCAGTTTTCGGATCTGCTTTTCCTCACTCATTTACATTACGTTCTTGAACGCTGAGTACAAATGGCGGGACATAAAGGATGAAATCGATCAGAGGGAATGGAAATGATTTGCATGCACATGAATTGGGACGATAAGTAGATGATGTGCTTATTGTAGGTCAAAGAATATGTTCAGCGACTTTGGTCACCTTTGGCGGAGATACCTTTGTAGTTAGCCAGCTCTTTTTGTGTTTACATTGTGTAGGGATCTGGAAAATAATGAACTTATGACAGACAGGCTGTGTTTTTTGCTACGCTGACCTGTGACGTATGTATTGAAGCACCTATTACAGGAGAACGGAGAAAGGCCGAGAAAATTGCAGAGAGAGCGGCACAGCCGAAAAATCGGTTTTCATTCCTTCGAGGTATTATCAAATTCTACCAAACTCTTTACAGATAGATCTCCTCCAAACCCTAGGCCCGGATTCTCAAACTCTGAATCCTTACACAATTCCACACCCAAAGCTCTCACTTCGACATCTGAAGATTCTCTCTCCTCCACTTGCCATCCCCAGATAATACGGGCCAACGCTCCCATCCGCGAACCTCGTCTTCCACGAGTAGAGGCGCCTGCTGAGTACCTCAGCCGGACCTCCTTCTCCTTCTCCTCGAACCACATCTTTTTCAACTTCGCGGCACGAACACAGGCACAGGCACGGGTGAAGGCAAAGAAACTCTTTTGAGTGTATAAACACCGACGTTACAATAACGTTTAGATATTTACATATGCGGCATTTCGAGCTGTATTGCTTGCATTCAATTATTTACAAATACTGAGGACGACGGATCTATGCCTATGGAGCTATCTATTGTTGTTGTTATCCTCGACAACGGGAGAGAGGAGAGCCAAAGAGAGATTGACTTGGAAAGAAAAGAAGCAGGTTGTGTAGACTGATGGCTGGCTTTATAGGTTTTCACCTTTATATTGACTCATTGAGCTGCATGATATTACGAATGAGGAATTGTGAATATTGGCATCTCAATTAGCAAGCCTTGGATGCCTATGTGTCGGCTTTCAGAAGCCTTGTTTATCGAGGATAGAGGAGAAAGGGGTTGAAGCTGGCTTTAGCGAGGGGCTATGGACATTGGTATGAAAATACTCTTCAGTACCCGGCTCGAGACAGATCGACTTGGGATCATGGGGGCATTACTGAATCATAAATTAGAGTATGTTGTTACTTACCCGTCATCCTTTCATTTACAGCAGTATTCGGCATACTCGCATATCCTTCGGGATGCATTTGAGATCCTCGGCTCTTCAAGCTCCGTATCCACCCTGGCCTGGACATCCATCCTGTCCAAGCCCCAAATCATCCCGGATCGTCCAGTGAGGTTATGTGAAGCCGGAAACCGGATGCTATTATGAGATCAGAGTATCGACCAACAAACCAGCAATTACTGAAATCTACTGAAATCTATCGCTGCCTTTTGATCCTCGCAAGCTGAGTTCACTGGCGCATCCGGAACCCCAGAGCCAAGCCGGCAGTGCTCCACAGATGAGCGCGTCCCCCAGAAAATCAAGCAGTCAAGCTCATCCCAGCAAAACCTTCCTCCGCATTCATTAATCAACTCGAGTCCACAGATACCAGACGGAAGAAGCGATTTGCGCACGAAGCAAAGGATAAAGGACAGACAATGTGCCCTGCGAATCGATAGTCGAATGTGTCGCTCTATGCAGAAGAGCCACCAGGGATGAGTGCGAGCTCAACAACCCGTGGTGCAATCCCCGCTGCTGGAACTGGGAATAATGGCACATCCACCTGCAGTCCGGATCTCACAGCTGCTACCGCTGAAGCAGATCCGCTTCGTCAATAATGAGGGACAGCCTCCGCCCAAGAGGAGGAGGATAAATGCTGCGTAGGTCCCTTTTGTGCGGTGTTTTTTTCTTTGCTTTGCCAGCTGGGCCTACCGTGGAAGTTGGAGTGAAGCGGGAGTTCTGGAACGCGCACGATGATCTCCGACGCGGTCTTTGCGTGAAGGGGTTTGGGCTGATGGGCAATCGAATAGTTGCCGGACGTGTCGCAAGCGGAAGACGAGATGCGATGGGAAGAAGCCCTTGTGCTCGACTTGTACGGAAAATGGACATGAGTGCATGGGCTACGAGGAGGGTAATGTGAAGAGGGAGTGTAGGGGCAGTGATGCTGGCAGAAAGAACAATAATGAGGAGGACGGGCACGAGGAGGAAGAGGAGGAGCATGAAGAAAGAGAAAAATCGGCGGTGGAGAAAGGGCATGGCCATCAACAGCAAAGGACACAGGGCAATTGTCCGGAGCTAGGCGAGGGGGGCGGGAGGACGGTCTCAAAAAATCAGCGCTATTTCACGCAAAAGTCACCTAAGCCTAGGCGAAAAAGTATGATTGATAACGGGCAAAGGGGATACTGCAAAATCGCGGATTACAAAGAAAGTGATGTATTCTCCGACGAAGATGAAAGTTCCACTGGTAAGTGAAGCCTACCTAAACGATATCTCAGGCAAATACTGACCTTTGAAAGCCGAACACTCTTCAAATTCCAGTCTGCAGAACTATCGAGTACCGTACTTCAGATACTTCGGCCCGACTGCTATCGTTCCTGGCTTCAAGCAAGTGGTTGTCTCGGTTCGAGAGCACGGCAGAAGTATTGGCAGCTCGTCTGTTGCGAGTAGGTACCCTGCACCAAAATTAAACCTGCTACAGCTACTAATCAACAAAATAGTATCTCCTGGCTCTAATGGCCCAGGAGGAGGTGGATCTGCTCGTGGTGGCACATACTTGCAGCCCGGGGGGGAGACAAGATCTTCCATTGAGATGCCAATCTACGATCAGCACGATCCATTGCCGGTCAACAGGTTGATCATTCACATTATCGAAACATTCTTTACACACCTAGGATCAAACTACCCTTTCCTTCGACAGAGATCGTTCATCCAACGAGTGGAAGAGAAGTCCGTTGAAGCGATTCTCGTCGATGCCGTTTGTGCGCTTGCTGCTCGCTTTTCAGACCACCCTCTACTCATCGGTCATCATGATAAGTCGCTCCCAAAATCAGAGTATGGAAATGCTTTTGCGCAAAGGGCCAAGGCTGCTGTAGTCGACACATTCCCATGTCCGACGGTCGCAGCAGTGCAGGCCTGTTTGTTGCTTGCGTATGAGGGATTCGGCGCCAATCAAGACAGTGCGTTGTGGATGTACCTAGGATGCGCAATCCGAATGGCAGTGGATTTGGGTCTCCAGAAGCTGGATGGTGTCAAACACCAGGGCCCGAAAGATTCCGGTTATCACCGATATGGCAATGACTCGGCTATCTTAGAAACTACTCCTCAGGTCAACCTGCAAGAGATGAAGGCACTTGAGCAAGAGCGCATTGACACTTTGTGGGCGGTTTTCATGCTTGACAGAGTAATCTCATCAGGGACGGGAAGATCCGTCGCGTTAAGAGATGAAGACTTGGAACTAACGTTTCCTGAAATCACCCGTGACGGCGGATGGCCAAATCCGTTTCCGGCATTGATACAGATTGTTCATCTCTATGGACGAGTAACGGATCTATTGAATAATATCAGAGATGCTAAGGATGTTACGCCGAAGAAGGTTGAGAGTTTGCAAAGCATGGAGAAGGATCTGACAGAGCTATATCAAAGGTTGGACCAGAAGTTGACGTTTAATGCCACCAACTTCCAGCACTACGTGAAGTCTGGGGAAGGGACCAATTTCATCCTGGTAAGATGAATACTTGTGCTATTAATAGGAGTATCAGCTTCGCTGACTTGGATCAGGTGCACTTCTGGTTTCACACTCTCATCATGCTGGTCCATCAACCAACTCTGATGCGCTCCTTCGAAGGCCAGATCCTTTCTCTGCTTCCTCACAGCCGGGAACTCAGTATGTCTTCTGCCAAGACTATCGCTGACATTTTAGCCTTTGCCGAAGTCATCGATCCAAGAAGCTTTATCGGCAACGCTTTTACATCTCAGCCCATGTATATTGCGGCGTCCGCGTTTCTCATGGAAACGGCTGCACACACTTCACAGCCTGCTTCCAGAGATGCTAGTCCCCCACGGAATGACCGTGGTGTTGAACCCAGCGACCGGAAAGGAAAGATAACCTCTAGCGAACAGAAGCAGAAGCAGAAACACACTCTGCTTGCTTCAGCCGCCAACCAGAATTACCAAAAGTGCTACAAAGCACTGCAGCAATTAGAAACGTACTGGGCAGGAACCAGATATCTCCTGGTAGCGCTTGATCAAAAGGCGAAAGGGATCTGGGATCCAGAGACGTTTACTGAACAGGAATATGAAAGCACAAAATTGAAGCCGGACTTGATGCATTGGCAAAAGAAGTTGAACACGAATTTATCAAATTCTGGCCGCCTCGCCGACTTACGCTCTTCTCGATCGGAGCACGTGCCAGGATCACCAGCTCTTGATTCATCGCAAGCCATCGGATGGTCATTGACCGGAACAACCAATTCTCCAAACTCGAACCTCACATTCATGTACCAACAAATGGAAAATACCCCTCCGCAACCTCCGCCTCCGCCATCAACCGGTAATATGATTTACGACCCTATTCGACAAAGTTTGCCAGAGGCTACAGCTTCATCGACTTCCGCGTCCAATTACACCTCTCAATACTCCTCTTCTGCTCCACCGCGATCGCAAACCTTGAAGCGGATAGTGCCTCTCCCTACCAAATACTCTGCGGAGACGGCAGATCATGCTTCAACCTCAGATGCGGAGATGCTTCTCGGATTACAAAATCCTTACTCACACGGCACACCGACCCCGTACCAGTCTTACAACAATACCCCACGAGGCATGAGATCTCCTCACGACATGCGGTGTGATTCCGCCTCTTATGACTTCTCGCAAGGTGGTAACGTCGGAGACATGATGCTGGAGAGTCAGGAAATCGACGTGTCGTCACTGGGCGGAGAAATTATGCCCTGGTTGGAATACCTGCCCCAGGATATGCTGAACTTTTTTGACAATAGTGGCAGCAGTGTGGGGATATCTAATGGCAGCAATAACATTGAAATGGACGGTGTGAGCACTGGCGGCAGCACATGAACTAATGCTCTTGCCTCTCCCACCCCTTGTGAAATCGATTAGGTTTATCTGGTCCTGTATTTTTTGGATTGAGACTGCAATTACGCTGTCACGGATTGGACCGCGGGTGTTTGGGAAAGGTATAGTAGGGAATGGCGTTAGGTGCTTAAAAATTCTGTATATAGACTAAAGTGTTGGTCAGTTTCTACAGTCTTGTTGTTGTTATTGTTATTGTATTCATTAACGTCGGGCGGGTAGCAAGCGAAGCCTGCCGCCTTAAGACCTCTTATAGGGTATAGGGTATAGCGACGTTCTAAGCTAAGGAGTTACATATAGGACAGCCTTAGAAAGCAATTCATAGTAGTGCATCAAAAGCTATTGTCGTTTGCGCCCTTCTCTTATAGATAAGATGGATCATAATGAGAGAAGAATCTCTCGTTAAAGAAAAAAAAACTAGAAAAGAGAATAAGGCAGGCGCAAGCTGCCGTGGCCATCGCAACATGGCTACCCTCGAGCCGCAAGACGCCTAGTATCGAGGCCAGACCGGGGTCAGCCGTAGGTATACATAACAATGCTAGGAAGAAAGAAGGAAAAAGAAAGAAAGGGTGCTCACAACCATAGCTAAAAACAAAACAAAACTCTAAAAACAGTCTATCTATATCGTATCATAGCGTCAGAACAAGTTCCTTCGGGAAGGCATCACGCTGCCTCAAAAGGTCCCTATTCTATCGTGTATTTTGCTAGCTTCTACAGCCTCTATAAGGCGGGGCGTACCCCGTCCTCCTTATAGAGGCAGTATCAGTGAGCAGCTAGAGCGGCATTATCAGCGAGTGCAATGCTCATAATAGAACTCCGTGGTGGTTAGGAAGGCTTGAAAGCCAGCCGGTTTGCTCCTAAGGAGAGCCTTAAGGAAGTCGCAGGCTTCCGGGATAGTGCTTAGTAGGATCCTTGGTCGAGTTTCCGTTCTAGCTAAAAGAAAAAAGAAGCGCCGCCGTGTAAAGTGATAGAAGGCGAGGTGCACAAGGGCTTTACGCTTGCCGCACGCGCATCTCCGGTTGGCGTCGTGGTGCTGGAACCTGGTATGGTACCAAGTGAGGTCTCCGTGCGTAGTCCGTATTGCCGGGAGCTTGTGTAGGATATTGTCGTGAGAGCTCGAGCTCCGTTTCTACAGTCCTCGGTCAGTTGCGAGACGCATTGTTCAGGAGCAGCTCGTATTGTAGATATCGCGTTTCACATACGCCATCTACTTTGTATCCTTCCAATTCGTCAAGTTCTTACCGCTAGCCTACTCCTCAAGTGGTCCCCTATAGCAGGTAATTCGCCCACTAATTTATCCGAGCAGAAGAAACTCGGTGTTTGGCACCCGTTTGGAATTCCCCTCCGTTCCTGAGGAAAGAGAATCAGAATTCGCAAGCTGGACCTCGTGAGATCCATAATTGATAGTCTTGGGGTCCCAGGCTTAATGCGTTGGTTTGTCTCGATGGTCTGTCTGCTGACTTATCTCTCTTTCGCTAGGTACTCTTCGGTTTCAAAAAAATGATTCCAAAAATTTCCATCCTGGAGGGTTCTTTTTCGTCGTCCAAAAAATATTTAATTGGGAACCGACGAGTAGCTCACTTGGTTATTTATTTACTTCGTCTACTGGTTTTCGTGTCTCATACGAATCTGTCTTTTACATATTGTGGTCCTAGAGTCCTAGTCATAAGAATCGTATCGATCGAGTACTGTATTCTGTGTATAAGTTTTATCACTTACAATGTCGTCTTGAATTCCTGATACTCCTGTTGACTCCGCTGATATAGGTAAATGGCCCCTTAAATTTTCGCTTAAGCGCAAGTGACGGACAGACTGTACCTACGGACAGCCTGGTATTAAAGGGTTTACATTAGCATAAAGCTTATCAGCTTTACGTAAGCAAATTACCGAGTTAGTAAAGGTACCCATATACCTACAGAGACGACGAAACGAAAGGCCGGCTCCCTTGTGTCGGCCATGGTTTGATCTTTGGTCCATCCGTCCGCACGTGATTACAAACAAATCCAAGCAGAACGTCGCAACCTTGAGCCCGGATTGGGCTCCCATGAAATCTAATGGTACCCAAAAGTACAGCTAGTTACGTCAGCCTTGGTGAGGATTTCTGGCCTTGATAATCATTTGTCACGATTGGGCGATTAAGCGAGTCGTATAAATAAGGGCCTTGTCTCGAATCTCGTTTTGTTGGACCTAGCCTCTGACCTAGCTTCTGACAAAGGTAGGTAGTTTAGGTAAGGCAAAGACAGGATAGCAAAGAAGAAGCTAATAACCGACTTTGTGAAGATATTTGCATGTTATATATTTTGTTATTGATTTTCATAAGCGGCTAGCCCGCCCCCCCCCCCCCCCCTTTCCTAAAAC